CCCTACCTCCTGTGGATGGATCTTCACCAAATTTGATATGAAGGTTTGTTGGATACATGCAAATTTGCAGTTTCACATTTTGTGTTTTGCAGTTTTTATGGTTATTGTTGCATTTTTTACAATTACATATAAGGGAAGCAACTGTTCTTGTCCTAATATAACTTTTAATTTATCCTGTATTTACATAACTTCTGTCCAGGTGATGGGTACTCCGGCTAGTACAAGATATGTAGGTATAGGCTAAGAAAAAGTAATGACTTCCAATACAATGTGATTGCACAATGTACTACAGGCCATCGCACTCATAATGCTACTTATCATTATCTGAATTCTTAGTAGATTAAAAGGGAAATAATCTAACTAAGATTCACTATCAGCAATAAAATAAACAACAACAGAGTTGCTAATTAACAGACTTTTAAAGATTAGCTCCTCCTCTACAATATTTTTTACAATACAGTTATCCTCAAAAAGAACCATATTTTCAAATCTCCTCATCCCCAGCCAATCTTAACTATTGAGGACATGTGACCAGATGTAATGATTAACTCTTCTTTATTTTAATGCCTCAAATGTAACTTAAAATGTAATAAATTATCAGTGAATATCAAAATATTGATGAAATAAAACTGACAGCCAAGGTTGATTTCACAGTGTGTGTTATTAGAATCAGCAACAGTGACTTAAAATAATTGATTGTTGTAACATGCCATTTTTTTTCATGTTTACTTATGGCAGTGTTTCTTTAGGATCAGTAACAATGACTTAAGATGATTGATCATTGTAACCTACCATTTTTTATGTAGTGTTTCTTTAGGATCAGTAACAGTGACTTAAAATAATTGATCGTTATAACCTTCCATTTTTTATGTAGTGTTTTCTTATGGCAGTGTTTCTTTAGGATCAGTCAGAGTGACTTAGGATGCTTGATTTTTGTAACCTGCCATTTTTTTTGTAGTGTTTACTTATGGCAGTGTTTCTTTAGGATCAGTAACAGTGACTTAAGATGATTGATTTTTGTAACCTGCCATTTTTTCTGTAGTGTTTACTTATGGCAGTGTTTCTTTAGGATCAGTAACAGTGACTTAAGATGATTGATTTTTGTAGGTAAAACTAGGAAAAAACCCTCAGTGGAAGACAAGGAAGAGAATGTAGTCTCAGTTGCCTGTGGGGGAGAAGAACCCAGGATGCGAAGATATCCGAAAAGGAGATCTAAAGAAAAAGAATCCAAGAACACCACCCACCCAAAAAACCAGGTGGGTGTAAACACAAACAGATGTAATAGTGATGTAGATCTTCATCAAAATGTATTAGCTCACCATTTACTTTTTGACTCCACCACAAACACACTGTCACCCGAGAGTCTTCCCCTTTCTCAGCGAATGAAACTTAAAGAAAATTGTAAGACTAGTGTACCTAATCTGAAAGATTCAAGTAGTAATGATAATCTCCAGAAAAATAATGAGGGGGAAAAATCACCTTTACCACACAATATCAAAAGAACCAAAGAGTTCCAACCATCATCCAACCAAAATGAAAGAGAAAAGGGCAACCATAAAGAGTTTAGTGATCTGTGTGTTGATTCAGAGGGAAGACTGACTATAAATATGATAGTTAGAGATGATCAACTTAAATCAGCTAACTTGAACACAGATACAGAGAGCCAACAACTGTTTATTCACACTTTCAGAAACATTCCCCAAAATGATAATTTAGAAAGAGAATTGTGTAATACTCCAACTAGTAGTTTTTTTACTGGAAAGAGAAACAACTTTGACCTAAGTGAACTTAAGACAGTAGATGAAATTTCCAATGTTGTGCATCTAGAAGACAAAAGCCTTGTAAGTATGATAGAAGATGGTGATAACTCAGAAGACCTGTTCCCTACTTTAGATCTATCAGCTTTGGAGGAGGAATTGTCTCACTTGTCTATAGACAAGAGACTAGGAAAGACAAATCATCCTGGGTTTGAGAAATGTGAAAGGAAAAATCAAAAGAGTGTAAATTCAAAATGTCAACCAAACAAAACTTCTTGTGATTCAGTGATAGTTATCAGCTCTGATGAAGACGATGGTGGTTTATTTAATGCTGTTACTGAACTCTCATCTAAACAGACTGAAACTGCTAGGAAGAAAAACTCTTATCATTGCACTCCAAGTGGCAGCAGTTCTGAAAGACTGGTTACAGCAAGTAGCACCGATAACACTTTATTATCACCAGAACCAAGTCCCCTTCCATTAAAGCATAGAATTCACTTCAAGCTGAGACAGAACACATTATAACCTGTGTATAAAGTATAAAATTCTTACATAAAGCCAAACTTTGAATTTGTTACAACAGTGGGCTGAATGTTAAGAACATTCTTTGCTTCAATCATAGAAATTTTCTTAATACTTTTTTTTATGTAACTACAAATATAACTAAATACACACACTGAATATGAAAATAATTACCTGAAATGGATAAAAATCAGTTGCATGTCCAGCTGATAAAAAACAATAACTTAAATTATGAATATGTGTGTGTGTAAAAACTACCACTTTGAAAGTAAATGATTTTGTCTGTCAAGATTAGTCCTGTGACACTTGTAGGACTTTTTTTTAACCATGTGTTAGTGTTGGTACTCTTCTTTAATCATGTGATGGTGTTGGTACTCTTCTTTAATCATGTGACAGTGTTGGTACTCTTCTTTAATCACGTGACGGTGTTGGTACTCTTCTTTAACTCATGTGACGGTGTTGGTACTCTTCTTTACTCATGTGACGGTGTTGTTACTCTTCTTTACTCATGTGACGGTGTTGGTACTTTTCTTTACTCATGTGACGGTGTTGGTACTCTTCTTTACTCATGTGACGGTGTTGGTACTCTTCTTTAATCATGTGACGGTGTTGGTACTCTTCTTTAATCATGTGACGGTGTTGGTACTCTTCTTTAATCATGT